GCTCATGTACTGCTGAGTGATTGTGTGGGGACTCAGCAGCTTAGTTGGCTCAGAGATTTCTGCTTCTGTCCCCTAAGGACTTTGTCATGCTGGCTGGAATCTTAGCTGCTCATCTATTAAATACAGAGCTACCGATTCCAAATACTACCTACCTCATAGACAGGCGCTAATGTTTGAATGAGAAGTACTTGAGTTCTTCAGGAAGAATAAAACCCTAAGAGCCTTTCTATAAGCAGAATTCTTACAAAATTTACTTTTTTATTGGTTCTCTGGATCCTTTGATTAAAGTTCTGGTCTACCTAATGGATGGAGATTCATAGGTAGCCTTCTGTAAAAGCACATTCAAGTACACTTAAACATTGAACAAATACAATGGCCCAAGTGAGATTTTCCCAAGAGTGGTATAGTCTGTAGTTGGGAAGGGGTAGAAAGGGTTTTTTTTTTTGTATTAGTAATTATCCTTCTCTACTATATATTTGATACTTAAAGGGACTGATCCAACCAGCTCTGAAATCTTGTGATTATTTTATAAATCTCTTATTGCCCTCAGCACAAAGCAGTATTTGGTAGAGATTGTGTAAAACTGAGCTGGTCAACACCAGTTTTAAAGTATTTTAAGTTCTAAAATCTTGTCTAGGGGCTGGAATGATAGCACAGCAGGTAGGGTGTTTGCCTTGCACGCGACTGACCCAGATTCAATTCCCAGCATCCCATATGGTCCGCCGAGCACCACCAGGGATAATTCCTGAGTGCAGAGCCAGGAGTAACCTCTGTGCATCACCAGGTGTGATCCAAAAAGAAAAAAAAATCTTGTCTAGATTGCTACAGATAAAACACAGTTATCCCAAAGGACACCCAACTAGCTCCTTGTCAAGTGTATAAACTTAACAATTTCTTTTCAATTTTAGTTAATATTTGATGGCATCTGAGGGAGCTTTCGAAGGCTTTGTTTAGACAAGTACAGACACTCTCTAAATGGCACATCCACAGGACAGAACGAGAAGGAAGTCGTCAAAGGTCCTGTTGCTTAGACCTTCATGACTTCTCCCTCAGTAAATTCATGAATGCCAAAAACAAAAGGAGACTCCAGTGATGACAACAAAACATTGATTTGGATTATCCACACTGGTGGCCTCCTCTACCCCAGTTCACGAAACTGTTGCTCAACACTCACTTGACTTACACTGGCCATCTTCTGTTACCATTTGGCAAAAGTTTCCTGCCCTAAATATTCTTGTCTTGCACAATGGGAATGGTACCCATAAGGTCTCAATCAAAGTGTCATGTGAATTATTTTACATTTCATGAGGAAGATAAAAATAACTAGATTGGGATTGGAAAAACCATTTCATATCATCAACCCTGAGGAGTTCTCATCTGTGTTCATTCCAGCCAGCATGGTTTCATCTACTTTCTAACCTATCGTTGAATTCTGTCCTTAATGGTGATTCAGGCCATCCTTCTATTGCCCAATTCTTGTTACGACTTGGGAGGTTGATGTGGTTGGTTTGTTTTTAATATCTTGCCCAATCTTTCCATTTTTAGTTCCAGGCTATTGCTTTTAACCACTTTCAACTATCCCATTCTTTACAGAATGACACAGTACTGTACACAATCTCGCTCAAATATATTTTTTTTTCAATCTAATTCCAGGGTGGCTGCATCAGCCTCATGGACTCAAAAAGAAAATGCCAAATGATAGACTATTATATAATTTATTTCCATATTCCTAGCAGTCCAGTTCTGAGGAAACCATCTATTACTTGTTTTCTTTTCATCACCTGAGTTGTGTGATATAGGTAATATTTGATTTCCACTGGGCAGGCAAACAAGAGAACTTTTAGTCAATATTATCCAATTTGTAATGATGTAGTTAGCCACCTAAACCCAAGTCTGACCATCTACTGTATATTCCTTCAGGACAGGCTCATAAAGTTACAAAAGCCATATTTTACATACCTTTTCTTAAAAGCAATACAAATTGTTCTAAAATATCACTGAAAAATCACAGTATTCCTAAAAAGTACAATATGTAAATCACTGTCTTGGGAAATTCATTAAAAAATAATCAAGTGAGCTTTATTCTGAATTCTAAGAACCAAAGGTTTTATGTTTTCAAATAAACATTTTTTGTTAATTTAGTCAAAGAGCATTTCTGTTGTTTCACTCTGCCATAGAATGTTGCAGAATTATTCCCAGCTAGATGGTTCTTCACAAAATATGTATTTGAGTCTTTGACTAGAGAGCAAATGGTTACACATTTTGTGGGAATTACTTATTATTGCAAATGTGGAATGGCCTCGAGTGTGATATCTAAAGTGTTGGCTTTGACTCACACAGTAATTCTTCATTTGGTAACCTATTGCCTACAGAGGTAATCACTGTCACTGTCACTGTCACTGTCCTCCCATTGTTCATTGATTTTCTCGAGAGGGCCCAGCAACGTCTCCACTGTGACACTTGTTACTGTGTTTGGCATATAGAATACGTCACTGGTAGCTTGCCAGGCTTTGCTGTGTGGGAGAGATACTCCCGGTAGCTTGCCAGGCTCTCCCTGAGGGGAGGAGGAATTGAACCTGGGTCAGCCGGGTCGGCTGCATACAAGGCAAATGCCCTACTGCTGTTATATAATAAACTCAAATACAGAAAATTATGGTAATTTTTTCCCAGTGAAAATGACTATATTTTTCAGTCATGTCTAGTGACTGAGTGAAAGGTGAAAGGTACTGGGTATTGCTTTCTTAGAGTTATTTGTATTCTGTCATGTGTTTTACTTGATTAAGATTCAGAATATTATTTTCAATAGTTTTATTCATCCATGAAAGCCTGGCTTTCTTCCAGTGACTTCACATGTTACACACTTACTTAACTTTGAGTAAGCTGGTACCATAACCAAATCCAATAACAACAAGACTCAAAAGAGAGCAGGATCTCGAGAATAATGCTCCTATCATCACCCTCAGACTTCTTTTTGAACTTAATTTGTAATATTTACTTTTTCAAATGTATTTGTCTTATTCAGTGATTAGCTGTATAAATCATTCAGAAATGACCAGGAATGCAGTTAATTAAAATACCTTTCTTTGTTGTCTGAACTTGACTTTCATGTAATAGAACTAACACAGGTGTGGGTAATATTTTCACAGAGGTGGTTCTGGAGTTGAATCAATTTCCTCTCAAATCATTGGACATCATGGAGCTTTAAAACCAAGTGAACGAAGCTGCAGGTTTTTAATCTAAGTTGATGAACAGATTTATTTCCACCACATCAGGTGACTTTTAAAATATTCCCTATTTTATATTATTGTTTTGTGTAAGTGGCCTAGACTTTAATTAAGACTTGTAATAAATCACCCAATTGGACCAACAGGAGAGAATAGAGGCAGAAACACATAGAAAATGACGGAGTTCATCATGAAAGTCATTGTTTAAAATTAATTGATATTGAACTTATGTGACCAGGCTGGAGCGATAGCACAGGGGGTAGGGCGTTTGCCTTGCATGCAGCCAACATGGCTGACCCGAGTTCGATTCCTCCGCCCCTCTCGGAGAACCCGGCAAGCTACCGAGAGTATCTCGCCCGCACGGCAGAGCCTGGCAAGCTCCCCGTGACATATTCAATATGCCAGACACAGTAACAACAAAGTCTCCAATGGAGACGTTACTGGGCCCGCTCGAGCAAATCGATGATCAACGGGAGGGCCTTTACCTTTACCTTTACCTATGTGACAATATGGAAAAGTTGATGGGTATAATGCTAAGTGAAATCAGCCACTCACAGAAACACAAATATCACATGATTTCACCACATGATACATGGGCAGTATCTAAAATAGTCAAACTCAATAACAGAAAACACAACGTTAATTGCTAAGAGATTAGGAAATGGGTAAACATGTAGGGCTTTGTAGCTTCTTAAGTGTTATGTTTCATTTACATAAGATGAACACACTCTAGAAAACACCACATTACTTAACAGCACTGTGCTGAACCTCTGTTATTTTGTTAAGAGACTAGATCCCATGGTGAATATTGTGGAAACAATCACAACAATTAGTACTATAAGGATGATGATATCACCCAGATAATTCTGGGGCTCAGAAATGGGTGAGAGCACTTAGAATCCACTCTGGGAATTAGAATGAGGGCAGGTTTTCTAGAAGGGTGAATATCTGAGTGTACTTAGAAAAAAATATGTGAATAATCTGGGCAAAGAAGGTCAGTTTTGGGCACTCAACTTTGCTTCATCCTGCTCCCACAGGCCTGTAAACATTGTAGTGACTCAATAAATTATCTTTTAAAAAGAATCATTGTATTAAAAATAATCATACTGCTGTCAAGTGTTTATCAGCATCCAGCCAGGATCACATATACCAAAGAATAGACAAAACAAAGAACCAAACTTACTTAGGCATGCTTACGGGAGAGTAGAGAAAACCAGGTTAATATCGATCTTCACAGAGGTCTATAGGAATAATAAAAATCTAACCTATCCAACCATTTTCTATGAATAAATGAGAAACCAGAGGCCAATATACTTGTGACATTCTCCAAGGCCATACAGCAAGTGTTTGAATGATTAACCTGGGATACTTTTGCTAAGCCACACACTGCTTTCTTGTCTTTCACCCACTTCATAGAAAAAGCCTAAAAGCAGTATTCAGTTTTGCTCTGTACGTCTCTATATCAATAATTAGTGTGAGAAAAGCAATGCTTTTAAACAAACTGCTTCAGTTTTGACTGAATAGCATTCTGAACAACCAAAGGACAGTGATACAGTGCCGCAGTACAGATCCAGGGGTGCTTGGGAGATTGCAGGTCCAGACCCAGCAAGAATCCAGGACACCATGCAGTGTCAAGTGTCAAAGTTAGGGACTAGTACGTGCTAGGTACATCCTTCATTGTCCTCTTGAGCTCTCACCCTAGTTCAGCAAAGATTTTTTTTTTCTGTTTTATAATGGCAGTAGGGGTACTTCCTTGAATACATTAAAATCTTAAGAATGTTAGCTCAGTCTACAAATAATAGCCTTTTACAGACTTGCTTCATCTGTAAAAGGTGAGGTTAAATTGTGAGTTAATTTACTAGATGGAGCGCTTGGAAACCTTTAATCTCAAAGGAAGTAATAACAGCAACAATAATTTACCTTTTGAGTTTCAGTGGCTCTTCATAGTTTTCTGATTGAAGTCTTAAACCCATCCAAGTGAACAGAAGAGGAAATGCTCATTCCTCAATTTTATAGATCAAGAAATTGATGAACAAGGAGTGGAAGTCCCATTTATCAGCGTTCTAGTCTCTTACCCTCAGGTTTACTTCTTCAAGGATTCTTGGTTACAAGTTGGACTTACACACACACACACACACACACACACACACACACACACACACACACTTTTATAAAGTTGGCTGTATTTTATTCCCCTGTCTATTACAGACCTAAAAAATAATTAAATGTCAGTTCCAATCCCATGTATTTCAGTAAAATTATTCAATATTTGTTTCAGAGGACCTGGAATTTTTCTCCATGTTATCCTTTCCCTACTATGTTCCATTTATCTATTTATTTTTTATCCTCAGTGCCTAATTTCATTCTAAGATTTCCTATGTTTTATCTCTTACTATTTCTTTAGCAGGTCCAGTACAGATTCATGACTAAAATGAGAGGAAAGAACTTGTTTCTTTTATATGTAGTTATTTTCTCAGTCAAGTTATTTTCCTCCTATCTTTATGATGCTCTATCACATTTTCCCCCTTCCCTCTCCTACTCACCAACATATTTTCAGAAGTTCTTCTATCCCTTTCTTTTCTATACCAGTCCTGCTTCACCATGATTTATCGAAAGTGTTCATCACACATTGATCTAGATAGCAGGATCATAGCAGAAAAATCCATATTTTATGTCTTTTGTTCTCAAACATAGAAATATAACTTCTAATAAAACTGGCACTGATAAAGATAAACATTATAGTATAAAGATAGTATAGCAGCTCTAGGATAGTGGCTAAGGCACTGGTCTTGCACACTGTCAAACTGGGCTTCGTCCTTGTAGTTCTTCAAACCCCACCAAGAGCAAAGAATAAGCCCTGAGAATAGCCAGGTGCTGCCCCCCCCAAAAAGATAAACATCATTTATTTGTATATGACATCAAGAATTATGGGAATGCGATACAGTGCAGATAGCATATATATTATAGGTGATTGGAATGATATCAGAGTAATGAAAATAATGAGTAGAAAAATAATGATGCATGATGTGAAAAATATAACAATTGAGGGCAAAGGCAGTCCTCTAAAAGCAATTATAGGTGAAATTTAGTGTAGTTATTTATAGATCTGGAGAACAAAAATTAAAAGTGGAAAGGAATGAGACATTTCAGAAAACATGTTTTTCCAGGAAAGAAAAAAAAAAGAACACCTAGAGAAAGTTAGCTGAGGCAGTAACACGCAAAGAAAGTAATAGAGGATATGACCTTAGTGAAGAAGGGATGGTTATGTAGAACATCCAAGAATGGAAAGTTGGACTTTGGAAACTGGGGAGGGATTGGTGGAGAGATGTGGTTAGAACTGCAGTTTGGAATTTGCCCTGGCAAAGAAGCTTCTCATGGCATGTTGGGAAAGAATGAAGGAGATGAAAGGAAGGGAAATTGAGTCAGAGAGTCCCCCATTCCAAATACTCACTGCTGAGGGGAACTGAGCAAACAGCGATGCTTAAAAAGAACACAGGATGGGGTAGATTCAAGAAAAGTCAAAACTCTTCCAGTTCCTGTTTAAAAACATAAACAACATGCAAATTCAAATAAAAAAATTCTTCCTGTGTCACATTGAGAAACTCTGTTTTCTTTGTTGCTGTGACTCACTTGGGGACTATTCTTACAAGAATGCAATTTGGAGGGATGGGCAGACCTGTTGGGGGAAAACAGAACCTCTGTGGAATGTTTACCCATTCCTGGGACCATAGAATTTTTTCCTCTACAAAGGTCTGTTTATTTTAAAAGACGCTATATTAATGAAGGGGGAAAGTCTCAGATATCATGGCATGATCTGGGCCAGCACACAGGACATCTTGAAATAGCCACAGTGAAGCAAAAGATGAAGCCCGTGACCTAAAACCCTTCCTGAACCCTTAAGCAGAAGAGCTCAGAAAGACAGGTGAAGTCGGCTTCCTCTTCAAGCCTGTGTTCTCTCTTGAACGTGTCTCTTGCTTGCTGATTTTTATTTCTTTCCTTGTTATTTCCATTCTATAGACACCCGTGTTCTCACTTGCACATACACTTTCCCCTTTCTCTCCCCTCACGTGTTTCTAAATAAGTTTCAATAAAAGCTATCTGAAAAAAAAACAGGTGAAATGAGGAGGGGTTATGAATGGTCAGAACAGGGAGAGATAGCACATAGCACAGGAGTAAATAAAGACAGGATAGCTCATGGATTTCTCAAACTGGAGAGAGGAAAAGAAGGCAGCAGAAAAGCAAGTGGAACCATAGCTCAGATCAAATTTTGTGCTTCAGATAAATATTTTTGCAATACGGGGTCTGCTTGACGGGGGTAAATGTGATTTTCTGGAAGCAATTTCTTTAAAAAAAATAGTTCATCACAAATTTTAGTACACATAGAAAATCCAGATTTAGGAGAAGAGAGAAATAGAAATGATCAGATTCTAAACTTACAGGTATTGTTAAAGAATTGCTGGCCCTTCCTTCCTTCCTTCTTCCCTCCCTACTTCCTCCCTCCCTCCCTCCCTTCCTTCTTAAAATTATTTTATTACTTTTATTATTTTATTTTTAATAAAATAAAATTTTTATTAAAACTATTTTATTAAAAATTATTGTCATAGGGGCTGAAGCGATAGCACAGCATGTAGGGTATTTACCTTGCATGTAGCCAACCCAGGTTTAATTTACAACATCCCATATGGTCCTCCGAGCACTGGCAGGAGTAATTCCTGAAAGAAGAGCCAGGACTAACGCCTGTGCATCACTGGGTGTGACCCAAAAAGCAAAAAAAAAAAAAATGGTGTCATATACAATGTTATTCATAGTGAGTTCTAGAAATACAATGTTTCAGCAATGATTTCACCACCAATGGAAACTTCCCTCTACTTTCCTCTGAGCCAAAAGATCTAAGAAAAGTCAGGTGGTATTTTGAGAAGCATCAAATAAATACCATGTTTTCTGCTTTGTTTTCATCTCTACTTAATATATATTTTTCTGGAGAAGTCAAATTTAAAATAAGGAAAACAGTCTTGGAGGAGAGAATTTACAGGTTTCCCTAATTCGTTTAGAAAGAAAACTCTATTAAAATATTCATTATTGAAATTTAGCCCCTCCAAAAATGTTTTCTATATCATAATTAAATTAAGAGACAAAGCTGTGTCTGTCGATGTTTAATGTGAAGATGAGGGTGAAGTTTTTTTTTTCCCACAAACAGACAGCACGTTTGTTATGATCTAGTGCTAAGTAAAGCTATAGAATATTCACATAATTTATTTTGGTCATTCCTTGCCAAACAGGTAAAAGAGAAACTGAGTCATCCTCTTGAAGATATGAAACCAGAATAGATAAGAGGTCTTGATAACTGTTTAGAACAGACATGAAACTTATACTGAGGACCATGGACAGAGAACATGTTGGGTGCACAGATGAATTTTGAGTACAAAGTTTGAAGAACTGAGTCTGAAATTTTGGAATTTTTGTGATTCCCCCCCCCTCCCCACCACCACCACCACACACACACATTGTCAATTCTATGATCCAGGGCAACAACAATGAAATAGTTACAAATCTTCCTAAGTCTAGTGGTGAAGGTCAGAGAGTCTCCAGATAGAGCATGAGGAAATTCTTGGGGCAACCTGTCCATTAGAAGACTGTCTTCAGTGTCTGTGAATTTATTCTTTATTTTGCTCTATGGATGTTATAGTTCTGAAAGAATGCAGACCTTATCTTTCTATTTGATCATCTTCACTAGTGTTATTTTTCCAAGTTATTTCATGAGTCTTGAATATGAACAATGCAAAGTAATTCTTTTTTTAGTTCATCATGGCACATAGTAGCTAGTAAATAAAATTTTTGTTAATTGATTTAAATTGAAAAGTTAGGTAATTGAATCAAAGACTCAGTTAATTCACAATTTCACAGTTCTAGATGATATGCTTGTAAATTTGTAAAAGTATTTCAAAAAGCTTTGATCATGCAATGAATGGGAATTGCAGATTTTTTTTCACCAGAGTTTGTTTTGCAATCTGAATTTTTTGGATCTTGCTCTGAAAAAGGTTGAAATGAAAGACATGGCAGTGAATCAGCAAGTTAAGAAGGTTAACAATTAGTCATAAGTTTAATAGATGATACAATTACGCCATCTCTACCTTTTAAAAATAACCATATTTTAATTAGATTTTAATCATAAAGGTCAGAGGTAGTATAAGTTTAGGAAAATCAGAAACACAGACCGGTTTGGCAAAACTGCTTTATCTCATATGTGTTAAATTGGCCAAATTAACTAAAACAGATGGTGAGAGGCTTTTGTTTCTTAAATAATCAATTGCTGATTGCACGGTCATAATGGTCTTTAATGTTTTAAGACTACATTTTAAAGCCCAGATTTATAAGTACTGCTTATATTTCTTTGTTCTTAAAATACAAATTACTTGCTTTGCTGATTTAACAAATCACAAGCTGGCAATTAAAAAAATGTGGTACCTTGGTTTTGACTTTGCTTCCTTAAAGTATATAAATATCTCTCTTCTTACAACAGATTTTAGACCATAGTAAACTACTCTGTTTGAAAGCATTAATCCAGACAAAAGCAAAACAATAACACAAATCTGACTTCATCTGATAATTGCTGGTCTGTCTACCTATTATGTAACAGATCTCTGTGACTGTGATGAACTAGAATAGCAGCCATTTGATCATTCTCATGATTTTGCTGATCAGGGATTCAAATAGGGCCTAGTTAGCATTGCTAATCTATGCTCCATAAATGGGGGCCTGATAGCAGGTGTTGTAATGACTGGAGTTGACCAAGGATGGCAAGACTAGTCAAGATGGCAAGAAAGTCTTGGCGCTATCTTCCTTAGTTTATCTTTAGGGTACATGCTGACTTAGAAGTGTTCAAGTTGTCTTTTTCATTCACTCATCTGGAATGACTGGAACAGATAGGTTCTCACATCCCCTCCCCTTACCTTCCTTCCCCTCCTTTCCCCTCCCCTTTTCTTCCTTCTGTCCACTCCCCTCTCCTTCCCTTCCCTTCCCTCTCCTTCCCTTCCCTTCCCTTCCCTTCCCCCTCCCTGTCCTGTCCTGCTTTCCCCCCCGCCCCCTTCTTATTCTCTTCCCTATTCCCTTTTCCTTGTTTTATCTTGCCTACCTTTCCCTTCTACCTCCTTTTCCTTTTATTCCCTTTATCTCCTATCCCATCCCTTTCCTACTTCAATTTTCCTTCTTTCTCCCTTTCCCCACTTCACCATCTTCCTCCCCTCTCCAGTCCTTGGAATTTTCCCCTTTCTACATGTCCGGCTTGGATTTCTTCACAACATGGTGATTTCAGTGTAATTAGACATTTCCCACATTGCCTGGCTTCCCCCAGAACAAAACTTTATAGTAGAAAGAGTGCCAAAAGGTTCAAGGGGGGGGGGGTACTGCTAGGCTTAGAAGTCTTCGATGTTACTTGTACCTTTATTGATAGAAAGTTTCTAAAAACTTGGCCAGATTCAAAGACATAGAACAAAAATTCCGGAGTTCGACACACACACACACACACACACACACACACACACTCTAAAGACTTGGCCATAAAGACATAGAACCAAAATTCTGGAGTTCAGCACACACACACACACACACACACACACACACACACACACACAGGATGGGAAGCTATTGATAACATTCATCTTGGAAACAGTCTACCATATTGCCGTTATTTGATGAGCTAGATTCCTGTAATAAGGTTCTTCTTCCTCGATAATGTTTATTTTTTATCCATTCTCTTCCCTTTTTTTTGTTATCACAAAGTATGGGTTTGCATACTTGGTTTTTGACATACCTAAGATTGTCATGTCAGGGATCCCAGTGGAAGTGCTAAGGTAAAACTTAAGACCTCATGAAAGCGTTCTATTACTCTATGTCTCTAGATTTTTCTGTGGTTTTGTTTTTTAAAGAAGTTAAGTGTCAGAAGTTAATACAGGTAATAAGGAACTTGCCTTACATGTAACTGACCCAGTTAGATCCCTAGTACCACATATGGTTCCCAGAGCACCAGCAGTGGTCACTACTGAACACAGAACCAGTTATTGATCTTGAGCACCACTAGGTATGGTCACAAATTTACAATCTCCCCAAAAATAATTTTTAAATGTCTAAACAACTCAAGTAGCTCTATATACCTATGATCCCTTTTAAAGCATCAAACATTGTGGGATCTGTATTTTATTATCTATTCAGATTTTCAGACACTGCTTCATCTTAAAGACCTCAAATTCAAATCCACAGAGACTGGCCCACATCCACAAGAACAAAAGCAACCGGTGCTAGCGCGGATGTGGCGAGAAAGGGACACTCCTTCACTGTTTGTGGGAATGCCGACTGGTTCAACCCTTTTGGAAAACAGTATGGATGATTCTCAAAAAATTAGAAATTGAGCTCCCATTTGACCCAGCAATACCACTCCTGGGAATATTTCCCAGAGAGGCAAAAAAGTATAGCCGAAGTGACATCTGCAATTGTCTGTTTATTGCAGCACTCTTTACAATAGCCAGAATCTGGGAAAAACCTGAGTGCCCGAGAACAGATGACTGGTTAAAGAAACTCTGGTACATTTACACAATGGAGTATTATGTAGCTGTTAGAAAAGACGAAGTCATGAAAGTTACATACAAGTGGTACTACATGGAAAGTATCATGTTAAGCGAAATGAGGCAGAAAGAAAGGGATAGACATAGAAAGATTGCATTCATCTGGGGAACATAAAGTAACAAAATAGGAAACTAACACCCAAGAATGGCCGAGATTAGTACCAGGAATTTTACTCCATGACTTGGAGGCCAACCACACATACTAGGGGAAAAGGGAGCTCAGATAAAGAGAAGGGAACACCAAACAAAGGGTGTTGGGAGGATCCTCCCAGGATGGGAGAAGCATGCTGAAAGTAGACTATAGACCAAACATGATTGCCACTCAATGCCTCTTTTGCAAACCACAGCACTCAAAAGGAGAGAGAGGGAAATGCCTTGCCACAGAGGCAGGGTGGGATGGGGGCTTGGGGGTGGGAGGGATACTGGGATCTGTGGCGGTGGGAAATGCGCACTGGTGGAGGGATGGGTGTTTGATCATTGTATAACTAAAACCCAAGCACAAAATTGTGTAAGTCTGAAAAAAAATTTTTTTTTAGTGGAAAAAAAATAAATAAAAAAAATTCAAATCCAAACGTAAAATAACACCCTTTATTTTGTTAAGAGTTTTGATCTCTATAGTTCTTCAATTATGACTGGGGAGATGGCTCAACAGACTAACGTGTGCTCTGGGATTCTCAGGTTTTATCTCCAGCACCACTGATCCCCCAAACACCATGCCAGGAATGCATCTGGCATTCCGCAAACACCATTCCAGAAATGCTTCCTGGACATCACTAAGTGTCACTAGAAAATGAAAGGTAAAATGTTGGGAGAAGAGAAATGGCTTAGGTGTAGTATGCATACCCTGCATGAGTGAAGACCTCAGCTCTACCCCTGACACAGAAAAAAATGATTGCATAAATAAATAAATAACAATTAAAAAACAATTGAGATTCTTTAATTATGACTTTGTTTTAAGTGACAATCTGTAACTATTAATACTGTTTAGCTAGATGATTTCAAAAGTTTATAAGTCCATTTCAGGAGTATATATGTATTATTTTTGAGTGGTGTGTTCAGCTAAAGTAGGAAACTGAATCAACTATCTGATTCTTTTTTTTATTTTTGCTTTTTGGATCACACCCGGCAATGCACAGGGGTTACTCTTGGGTTTGCACTCAGGAATTGCTCCTGGCGGTGCTCAAAGGACCATATGGGATGCTGGGAATCGAACCCAGGTTGGCCGCATGCAAGGCTCTATGGTTGTTTTCCATAGTGATTTTTATTATCACACTGACTTAGCTCCAGGAAACCTTTGAGTCACTGGAAACTGTATTTTATGTTTACATTGAGTGACTGAGTGATTTTTCAATTTCCTAAGATACTTTAGCTTTAATCTTCTCAGGAACCCTAATCTTCCTAGTCCCTATTTTGGTCCCAAACTTTTTAAAATGCAGTACAAAGACATCTATGACTATTGAGTTCATAGCAGTGAAATAATTTCAATGGCTATCATTCTTGGAATTTTGGAAACACTTTCCCCTAACAAGTTATAAAAACTCACCTCAAATTAGCGTCCAACAAACAAACAAAGATGTGTGCAGAGTAACAACTAATTTATCTCATCACGTGAATGAGACACAACGGATATTATTACTCATGTCTATTTCTTACCTCTGTTTTATTTGGAACATCTTCACTGGTAAACTGTTGTGGAGCCACTTTCTCAACGGAATTTTCAAGGAAATCTTGACAGTTTTATTTTCCAGTAGTTCAAACATAGTGCCCTAAATTGAGCCTTCATGGTTAGAGTTGGTCTAATATGAAGCATGTGCACACCCTTCACATTGTAGCCTGGGTATTGGAAGGTATTGATTGCTTTGGTCCGTGGGAGCTAAGGGCAAGTCTTAGCTCCACCAGAAACACAATGGCTAAAAATAGAGGAACGTGTTCCCTGGAAGTTCTGGCAGCAGCAACGTCAAATAAAGTTATGCCTTTTCTTCTGTTCCAACATTCCTTTTGATAACACTGATCCACCCTGCTCCTTCAGCACCATAGCACCTTCGTTTCAGTGGGGTGTCTAGAAGCTAATAAAACTGCTTGGAAGAGCATGTTGCCCCCAATGGTTATCTCACACATTTTCAAGAATGTGAAAACAAAAGTTCCTTGTTGTGTCCCAAGCTCAGAAAACACTCTTCTTCCCCCAAATCCCACTTTCTTCTGTGTCATCTGCTTTCGGAGAAAGAGAAGAGATTCTACACATATTCGTTTACATAATAGGATATTTATGATAATATACACTATTTTTCACTAATATTCCTTGTTCTGGGATCAGGGATCAGGGAAGGAAAAACAGTGATGAAGGGAAGAGCAAAGAGGTGATCCACAGCATGAGGAAGAGTCATCCTTCATAGGCTAACATACATCTATTCACACATGCTTATGTCTGATCTGTAGGTATCACCCAACTTACTCAGATCACTGAGTCAACTCCTCACTCCAGTCATTATTTTTGTACATGGAAATGGGATTTTGAATGGGATTAAACAGACATAGTTTTGCAGTAAGAGAATGAGAATGAGGTGGTGTTAGCTTCTTTATGGCAATTTGATTTCTTATTGACTCTCCGTTGAAATGTGTATTTTCTCACTAGAATGCAAGTAAGTGATGGTATTCAAGTAAAATTTCATCTTTTGTAAGTGAAATCCACCTGCCTTAATACTCAATGTAGATGATCCTTACATATACAGGATTATCTTCACGCTTGATGAAACTTGGTGATTATTCCTGTGGGTATTTCATTGATTTCTCTCTCTCTCTCTCTCTCTCTCTCTCTCTCTCTCTCTCTCTACATATCTCCACTCTTAATCCACTTTTCTGTCATTAAACAGATTAGATTGTTTTCAGATCTTAACTATTGTGAAAAACACTGCAATGAATATAAGAGTGCAAATATCTGACAATGGGAACATTTTTCCCATAGCCATGAAGACTGTGGGGACTAAAGGAACTTCCACTATGATGACTATGACTACAACAGGGAAAGAGAAATTGTTATGATGTAAAGGGAAAAAGAAAGTGGAGGCCAGGAACCAGGGAAGAGAAGGCACTGCGCTGGGGAGAAAGGAGAATAATAACTTGGTATAACCTCCACCCTCTGCCCCGCTCCTCCTCCTCCGCCACTGCCACCCGTCGACGCTCGCCTTCACCGCCACCTAAGTGCGCGCCACCACCCCTTGGAAGATTCGATGGACATGGACAGGAGCCCCCTGAGGCCCCAGGACTACCTTTACGGTTACGAGCTAACGGCGGGCAAAGATTATCATTTTAAAGCGGATTATGATGAAAATCAGCGCCAGCCGTCCCTGAGAAGGGTCAGCTTGGGGGCCGGTGCCAAGGATGAGTTGCACATTGTGGAAGCCGAAGCCAGGGATGACAAAGGCCGCCCGGTGAAAGTGATACTGGCAACTTTGAAAAGGTCCGTGCTGCCAACCGTTTCCCTGGGAGCCTTTGCCATCACCCCGCCCCTGGTTCTGCGGTTGAAGTGCGGTTCGGGGCCTGTGCGTATCTCTGCTCAGCACCTGGTCCCCGCAGAGGAAGATGCGGAGTGGGAAGACGAAGACGAGGAGGAGGAGGAGGAGGAAGAGGAGGAGGACGACGACGACGATGACAACGACGTGAGGCTTTTGAGCACCTCGGGAAAACGTTCTGCTCCTGGGAGGAGTGGCAGCAAGGTTCTACAGAAAAAAGCAAGACTTGCTGCAGAGGAGGAGGTTGGTGACGACGGTGGCGACGGCAGTGACCGCGACGAAGGCAAAGACGAAGGAGGCGACAGCAGCAACAGTGGAGGCGGCGGTGGTGGCTGCAGCGACAGCGGCGGCAGCTACGACAGTGACGGCAGCAGCGACGGCAGCTACGACAGTTTCGGCAGCGACAGCAGCGACGGCAGCGACGACAACGACGACAGCGACGGCAACTACTACAGCTACCACAGCGACGACAGCGATGGCAGCTATGACAGGTACGACAGCTACGACAGCTACAAGAGAGCTGGCAGCTACGACAGCATTGCCGGCTATGACAGCGACGGCCGCGACGCAGAGGCGGCAGTGATGGAAGTGGCACCGATGCAGCCACGCAGTGGCGGCAGCGACGGCAGCTGCCACGGCGACAGCAGCGACTGTCGCGACGGTGATGAAGGGGAGGATGGTGACGGTGACGATGGCAGCGCCAACGACGACGACGAAGGTGGAGATGGCAGCTACTAAGACTACTAGTAGCCCTACGAGGGAAGAAAGGAAGAGGCCAGGGACAGGGAAAAGAAGAAACTAGGAACGGGGAGAAAGGAGGAGAAATTACTATCCTGCCAGGGAAAAGAGGTGGAACTAGGAGGGGAGGAGAGAGAAATAAACTGAGAGTACCAACCAGTCTGGGGAATGGTTCTTGGCCACCGGCCACCAAATGCCCTAGTTCCCCCTGGCTCTTTTTGAAACTCATACCACTTCAGAAGAGTTGTCTTGGCATCCAGTCCTGTCCTGGATGTTTCCTATACTCTGGCTGGATATCGAGTTCCTTTGATGCAATAGTTTCAGTAACCTAAAATAAAATTTTTGTGTGTTTGCCTTGCATGCAGCTGACCTGGATTCGATTCCTCTGTCCCTCTTGGAATGCCCGGCAAGCTACCAAGAATATCCTGCCCACAGGACAGAGCCTGGCAAGCTCGCAGTGGTGTATTGGATATGCCAAAAACAGTAACAACAAGTCTCACAATGGAGATGTTACTGGTGCCTGCTCAAGCAAATCAATGAACAACAGGGAGGACAGTGCTACAATGCAGTGCTATGTTTAGTGTTGGGAATTAAAACCAGGGACTTGAGCAACGGAGGCAAGTGCTCTGCCACTGGGCCATACTCTCAGCTTTAGTGTCTCGTTGATGATGTGATCCAGTGTTTATGGCAATTTTGGTAGCTGGAAAGGAAGAATTTTTCTTTCAGAATTTATGAAGTGTATGCCATTGCTTTCATTTGGTCTCCTGTCCCTGGGATGATGAAAATATTCAATGGCATGGATTTCTCTATGAACAGCTGGTATAAACTTGAGGAGCAGGCATACTTAGTAAGAAATGGTGTGAAAAATCAGCAGAATAGCTATCACCTATTGAATATATGGAATGAGTTATCGCTTCGGAGCTTTAATAAGCCACAGTAACTCTGAGGAATCATTATAATGAGTATACTCATGTTAGATTTGGAAGTCCCTGGCTCAGAAAAGTTGAAATCTGGGGCTGGAGCGATAGCACAGCGGTTAGGGTGTTTGCCTTGCATGCGGCTGACCTGGGTTCAATTCCCAGCATCCCATATGGTCCCCTGAGCACTGCCTGGAGTAATTCCTGAGTGCATGAGCCAGGAGTAATCCCTGTGCATTGCCAGATATGACCCAAAAAACAAAACAAACAAAGTTGGAACCTGCCCCTGAAGGAAATCTGTGGTGAGGGATATTGGTTCTTTAGTGATAGAACTGTCATAACAAAACATATTTGAAGTGGTATGCTATTCCTATACTTCTAAAATATACATTGTTATGAACTAAACATACCTTAATGGAACTAAAACAAAAATATTTTCAAAAGAAAAGCAGAATTGTGACTTAAGCAAAGATGCTAACCCAAAAACCCATGTCCCAAACCTCCCCTTTCTGGTAGTATTAGCCAATGTCATGACTCTCAGCCCTAACATAGTTTTCACTTTAGAACACCATTAGTGGTTTGCTTTATCTGACTCATGCTGAGTTAGCATGTTTTCTTTGCGGGATTCAATAAATTTTGCTAATAGTGAACATAGCAAAAATCCCATTTCTTAGATGATGCGATTTTTTTCTCTTTTCTCTTTTGCATTTATTTTTTACATTGGAAGGATCCTAATGAAACTTGCTTTGTTCTCTTCTCCAAATTAGTAGTCACCTTGTGAATAATTGTATGCCTGTAAAAATTTTTGTAGGCTCAATAGTTTTCCTTTTCATGGCAAGATTGTATCTTTGGGACTGGAGCAATAGTATAGCAGCTAAGGCATTATCTGTACACAGTCAATGGAGTTTTGACCTCCAGCATAGCATATGGTCCCCCAAGCACCTCCAAAACAGATTATGACTGCGTATCTGTATGTTTATGGCAATGTTTAGTCTATGCATATATCTTGTTTATATCTAGGTCTAGACCATATCGGTGTCCATGTCTAATCTATGTCTGTATCTAGTCTATGTATATGTCTGTGTCTGTATTTATGTCTATGTCTGTGTTTATGTCTATATCTGACTACATTAACCATTTCACATTTAACTTTCCATGTTGAGTGAATACATTTGGGCCAGAAATGAATTTTGGGGCAAGATTGAGGAAAGAAAGTTGCTTGGTAGGAGAAAGGGTGGATGACCCAGCTTCTTGACTATGTGGAGGATATGTGGGGAGTAGTTTCTATTTATCCGTATCTTATTTTTCCTATCTCGTTTAATTTGTTCTAAATTCCTATGTATAACTATTAGAGTAGATGGTTAGTGACAAATGAGCCAAAGGGGGAGGCTCATGTAGTCAAAGGGAATTGTCTGTGTTTGCCTAGAATACTGACACAGAGGCCAAAAACAGTAACAAGAAGTCTCACAATGGAGATGTTATTGTTACCTGCTCGAGCAACTCGATCAACAATGAGAGGACAGTGCTATAGTGCTACCGTGCTACTGACAAAAATAGGGTAACTTCCTAAAACTCAAGTACCCCAGGATTCTAGAGTGGATCTTAAAGTTTAAGAATGCAAAAGTTAAAAAATAAAGATACTGGGGCTGGAGCTATAGTATAGCAGGTAGGGCATTTGCTCGGGTTCAATTCCCAGCATCCCATATGGTCTGCTGAGCACCGCCAGGAGTAATTTCTAAGTGCAGAGCTAGGAGTAACCCCTGTGCATTGCTAGGTGTGACCCAAAAAGCAAACAAAGAAACAAGAAACAAAAACAAAAAAACAAAGATACGAAGGATTTTTACAGATATGTGTGTCTTGAGTGGTGAGGGGCTTGGCTCTGAGACTTTGATGCGGAGGGTGACAGTTCTCACCTACCTGGCACCGGGACTTTTTCTTACCTCTTGATAACTTGACATGAACCTACTTCCCCATTTTTCTGTCAACAGTAAATAGCTTTAATATGACTTGGTACTGTCTGGTAGAATTATATTTTGTTTATGATACATTTGAAAAAGTATCAAGCCTTGTTTCAAGACAGGAATTAAGTGAAGGTAAGAGCAGTCCTTGGGAGAGCCAACTTATGAACTACAAACATACACTTTGTGATGTAATGCAGTACGTAAATGGTATCATATGATTGCGTACACATAGAGAAGGTGAAAACAACAAATATTGAGAGTGAACTCCATGATTTTTGGTCTTTTTTTTAAGACCTGTTAGAATATTTACTAACAACCAAATTTTCATTTCAGATGGTGCTCAGAAAACAACACCAATGTGCTATATTACCACCAGATGAAAATCATACCAAACATCTACCTACTACCTACATCATCATTGAGAATAAACCATAATCATACTGATTCAAAATTCTCCCTAAGTCTCTTCAAGCTGCTCTCCTAGCACCAGGGATTTAGTGTCCTATCTTATCTCCCTTAACTGTCACTTGTAATATATTTAAATAAGATCAAGTTATTTTCTTGCTGGAAATCTCCAGTGACTAGTTAGCATCTCTGGCCATTCAAACCCTATGTAATCTGTTGTCAAGCCTGATTCTCTTAACTAGTTAGTGACCAATTTCTTTCTTGCTTTCTCCATACCTGTCTTTATTCTCCTTGTAAATCAATGGAACTCACTCTCACCTCATGGCCTTTGCACTTGCTGTTCCCTTTTTTCGTTCTATGCATGTAGAAGCTTGCTTCCATGTCCTCTCAAAGAAACCATCTCTGGCCACCTATGAAATATATCCTGCAGTCCCCTGATAGTTACCCTCTTACTGCTGCATTTAATTTTGTTTAAAGAATCTCTTTAGAGCCATTTTCGGACTGAAACAAGTTGTAGAACCTTAGCAGAGTTCCTCTATCTCTTATTCACTTTCTCTAATACCAACATCTTATATAACTATAGTATAGTTATCTTAAACAATTACATTAACATTGTTGTTTTAATGTTTGAACCACACCAAGCAATACTTCAGGATTTTATTTCAACTCTGTACTCAGGGGTCACTCCGTGTGGTACTCTGGAGAACATATGTGACTACATAGGGGTAGATTACATGCAAGATAATAGCCTTAATCCCTGAACTGGCATCTGGCACTATTATAATATTAAGAAAACCTCAGGACTCCTTCATATTTTACCAAAGACGTTCTGTGGGAAGGTTTTGCCTAATGAACTATGGTGACCCCAGCCTCAACTTACTTGTCACATTCTTCTTAAAAAGGATTTAGGATGATATTTAAAGATGCCAAATTAAACACATTTGGATTAGTTAAGAAACAGGCATATATTATCCAGGAAAAGATAGAATACTCAGTTCAATTCAGTTTGCAAAATTGAATTTTGTGAACACAATTGGTAAAACTATTATTTTAAACTTAAACATTTTTTGATATTGTAGAGTGTTCTTATCACAGAAAAAAATAAAATAAAATAAAAATAAAGTGACACTAAGTTATGGCAAGATTATTTTATTTTTAAACATAATTCAAACGTTTAAATGTTAACATTTAAGTCTTGGAATTTTTGCAGTAGTCAGGACAGAATTGAAATGTAATACTTATTTTAACTAGACAACTGTATATCCTATAGGCTACTTACTTAATAATCCACTTTTATCTGGCTTGTTTGTATTCCACAGTTATCAAAGATAGATTTTCCTATGGTGATAAATTATTCATATCTTATAAAAGGAGTGAATCTAAAATCAACAATACATTGTGTGTACATTGATAGAATCTATTGTCAAGCTTTCGCTTTGGCATTTAAATTGCTTTTCCTATCCATCTTTAAGAGAAAATTCATAAGGGGGAGTCTCTCTCTTTTCATTTTCTATATTTACATAGTCTTTTAAACCAAACACAAAAAAATTTTCCAGAAAATTTTATGTAATATACTATTTAAATAGAAAGAACCATATTTCTGTGGCAAGGTACTCTTTCCAACCCCCAAACTAAGAAAACTAGATTTAAACTGATTTTAATAACTGCTTAATTATGAAAATTACTATGAAATTTTAAGTTCTCTAAAAAAACTTAT